ACAATCAAAATGAGAACTTCAGGAACAAACTTTTCTTTCCTCTTTTTAACATTCTCAAAAGACTAGGCATTCAAGCTTCCAAACAAACCAAATACAACTGATTTGCTAGTCTTTTACTCAGGAAAAATAATGACATTTCCCAAATCAAAGATAGAGCAATCCCAGTGCAAATGTGACTGTATTTGAATAGTGAATTGAGTAGCTGGGGAGAGTGGTGGGGTGGAGGAGAGCAGGATGTTTCTGCAGTAAAGGAAATGTGTAGCTGTGTAGGAACACTAAAATCAGTAAGATAATTCCTCCACATGATCATTCAGGCCAACACGAGATACTCCAGGCAGCTATTCTGTTTCGAACACAAATAAATAAAATGACATCAGTAGAGGGCTGAGTAGAGCATATAATCTCTAAATCTTGGCTCACAAATCCCTCCCAGGAGGAATACGATGGCCCCCATATTCCAATCACTAAGATGAATTACTATAGAAAAAAGGGCAAAGGCTGAACTAGTTCCAAAAGAAAGAAAGAGTTTAATGATGGAAGTGATTAGGAAAAAGGGGAGTTTTGTCTCCAAAACAGAACTTGGGAGAAATTTCAGGAGGTAGTGAAGGGTTATAGACAGGAATTTTAAACACTCTTTGACACTGAGAAAGGTTATATGTACAGATTTACCATACAGCAAGATTCCTGTGGGCAATTTTCTATGTGAAACATATTGTCTAATACCCATTGCCTTTCACCAACCTACCAGTAGAAGAGGCTTCTCTTAAAGAAACACATCTCCCTGTCTTGCTGTGCTGTATAAACAGCTCTGGAGGCTTCCATCTTTCTCCATGTCTGATATTTATGCGTGAGCATTTATTAAGCTCAGGCTCTGGGAGGCAATGAGACAGTCTTCAACCTCAAGTAGTTTTCATTTAAGTGTGCAAAACAGACCATCAATAAGAAAATGTGTAAGGTCATGTTAAGTAGTTCTAAGGACACTCGAAAGAAAATTAAACAGTATAAAAAAATAGAAGGTGGTGGAGGGAAGTGCCACTATTTTAGAAAAGAAATTTCTCCTCTTAGTGAAAAAAAAAAAGTAATATTTTAAAAGTATTATTTTAGGAAGAAAATCCTCCCTGTGGAAAAATTTGAGAACAGGCTTAAATGCCATGGTATCTGGAAGAAAAGTATTCCCAACAGATGACACTTCTCAAGGCAGAGAGCCCTGGTTTGAATATTGTGGCACAGCCTGGGTGAGCTCAGTGCTGACCCTGTGCCCCAGGAACAAGAGGCTCAGCTGGGCAAGGAGTGTTTGTCTAGGAGGTTTTGAAAAGGTCCTATGGCATGAAATTTAAAACAAGTCTGCCAAGTAGACAAAGAAAATGGACACCTATATATTCTAAATACTTTTTCTTGGTCACTGTGAAAAGAACCCCAGATAGAAAGAAAAGGGCCATTTGTTCATACAGCCCCATAGTGGATGACCCCAAAAAGTGTTCAGGGCACAACGGCACACTGCTTACAAGATGGGCTTGGGGTCCCTCTTGCGGGTGGCTGGAGTCCAGGCTTTACCACTCACTAGCTGGGTTTCTCTTAACCTTTCAAGCTTAAGTTTTCTCATATGTAAAGGGGGACAACACCTGGTCCTCATGCACTGGGTTTTGGGGGTACCCTGAGATGAAGCATTTTATGGGCATAGCCTAGTGCCAGGCACATATCAGAATGGTAAAAAATATGTAATATATTTGTGACATGTTAATATCACTATGAATGTATTTCATGCCCAACATGGAATAAGGTGTATACCATATTTCATAATATGGTTTTATGATAATAAGTCATTCCAACAGATTTCTGTTTAGCTTATAAAGCAGTTATTATTGTTGTAACCTTGATAATCAACTGATGCTTCCTTTGCTGCATTAAGATGAAAGACTGTCACTGATCTGCATCTATTAAAGCATGAATGGAATACCAAGGTCCACTCCTGTTAGTAGGAAACCAAGAGACAGAGACCTGGCTATGTTTTGAAACCTAGGTAAGGTTTTCCTGCTGGCATACCATGACAAGGCATACTTTTGAGGATGAGGAAAATTTATTTAAACAAAGTGCTTTTCCAGAAGCAGAGAGATCTTTCCTCTCCTGAAACCTTGGCATCTGCCTTGGTTTAAATCACAAAGGTGCCCTATGAATGAAGAATGACAACTGTGCTCTTCTGGAGAGGCTGCAGATGACAAGAGGCAATGAATGGCCCAGGAAGGGGAGCCCAAAACAAAGGAGGACAGACATTGTCATTCCTGTAGCACTCAATCACACTGTCACCAACAGGATGCAGGCATCTCCGAGGGACCACAGGCATCTGGTTCAAAGTCTGGTGAAGAAAAGGTCCCAGGCGCATCACCAGATTATCTATCATTCTGGCATCTAGAAGGAAATGGGGTCAGCTGGACCATAAAATTCTGATGTTGCTACTCCACTCATGTTCAAACTGTTACCATGGTCATGATCAAAGTGCCCTCCTTTCCAGGGCGAGTGGCACAGATCGCAGTATTTTATAAATTGGAAAAATGGAGGTGGGGAAAGCATCTGTTAACAACTGGAAAAATGACCAGCCTCTCCTCCAGGAGATGGCAGGCTTACACTGACTTGGGGAACAGTGGTACCAGCCGCTTACTGAGCAGCTTGTTGCATCTGTGTGTGTAAAGACCTTATGCTCAGCATTTTAGCATCACAAAAATCTGTGAAGTTGGTGGTGGTTTTACCTCCATTTTTACAGATAAAGAAACCAAAGCTGTGTGAGGGTTGCTTAGCCACCGAGTGATGTGTCTGAAGCTAGAAACTCTTAACTAGAAAGAGCTGCCAAATTTCCTGGCCAATTGAGGGTATTTTGGAGATTTGGGTAAAATAAGAACTGGATAGAGAAATATTAGTACTAAATTGCTGCTATGAAAATGGGAGAAAGAAAAAAAAGAGTAGAAGCAAATATAAGTTAAGTATCTAAAGAAAGTCAGTCAAGGTTTTGATATTAGCAGTAGCAATTAGGGAAAAGTAAAATATATGACCTGAGTGAAGGATATTAACATTAAGTCATGGTGTCTATCCTTCCCCTCAAGCCCTGTCTCTGACTGCAGGATGTGTCATTTTGTCTGTCCATGGAAGAATCCTAAATGACCACCCTGTCATGGGGGCCTTAGCACTTACTATACCATCACAGCCAACACCAGGGAAGGCAAGTCTGGGGAGTAAATGTCACAGAGTGATTCTGAAGTCCCTCTGTCCATACTGCATTCTCCCGTTTAAGACTCGGTCAACCCTTCCTTACTCTGTGATATTTTGCCCATTGGATTACATGATCACCTCTCATAAGGAAGGCACTGACAGAATTTAACAATACCCTCCCCACAGCAATTACCCCACAGGAAAAAATAGGACAAGATGGGCATATTTACTTTGAAGCAATGGTGAGCTAGCCTTAACATGCCTTCAGACTCAAGAGGTACAAGGACAGACTCTTGTTCCAAAGAGTTTTCATCAGGATTTTCATGATGTAGAACTAATGGATGCCACTCAGTATTAGTGCAACATGACCATGAGTTCTGAGAGACAAGCAAATTTGAGAGCAAAAGGGACATTCCTAGATTACAATAATTCCTTAATGAAGGTACAATCTCATGGAGCACCACTCTCCCATGAAGAAACCCACGGGACTTCAACATGTGGCATCTCTGTACTTTCCCTTTTATATTTCACTTTGTAGTGCAGAGTTATGTTTACTAATGAATAATGGAGGTGCTGAAAGATGGACTCATGTGCATATTTTTTAACCCAGTTATTGTGAAGGAATTAGGGAAAGGTGGGGGCAGATAGGATATGTATATGGACAGGCAGGCAGTTTTTATTTCAATCGAGCTCAAAAATGTAACTAAAAGAGGTAGTAAAAAGTAGCTGAGAAATCAAACATAAAAATCCTACCATGACCAGGAATCAAGAGGAATCAGATGGATTACACAAAGTATTACACAAAGGGGGAAGTATCCTACCATCTTCACTTCCACCGGTGGGTAAACCAGATGCTCTAGCCTCAGCAGGGTGACCCAAACCCACATGAATGTATTTGAAAGCAGGATCCTAGCTATATGCTAAAAATCATTAGGTACAGCAGCTCAGCTTCTTAGGAAGACAAATCCCAAGGCTATTTACAAAACCATGGTCAGGGAAAGAGCAACATGCAAAGGTGTTTGTGATTTAGAATCAGCAGTGCAGGGCTGGGCACCCCAAAAGCCAAACTTCTCTTCAGCACCAACAGGTCAGGGAGTGTGCAAAGCACTTTTTATTTACTTCCTCATAATCTTTGTCGTAACTCTATGAACCATGTGATATTTAATTCCCCCATCTTACAAGTAAGATTATGACAGAACAATTAAGTAACATCCAAAGCTGCCCAAATAGGAAGTAGTTCAACACCTAATAAAACCTATGTGGGCTGCTCCTGCCACCTGAACTCCTTTGTGTGTGTAGAGAGCAAGGCATGTTGGTGAGCAGGAGCTCCCAAAGGACCTCTGTGCTTCTCATCCAGGCAGTCTTTGTGCTGCAGTATTAGGAAAGCACCTTTTACATAGGTTGAGCTGCCCCTGGATCAGTTGTACCTACTTCAAACCAAAGCACTGAAGCTAAGGTTCAAAGGCAGCAGGGGACAGAGTGGAAAGAGAACCGGGCTGAGAGTCAGAGCTCATCTCTTCTCTGCCACTAATCCACAAGGTGAATGTGCACCATTCATTTGTCCTCAGCAAAACTGAAGCTTAATCATGTCAAAGGTCACATTAAATGCTGGGATGTAATGACTCAGACAAGCAATGAATCGGTATCAAAGTGGTAACATTTACCAACAGTTGCATTGAATAATCAGCTAATCTGACTTTCTGGTTCCATGTGTTAATTGCGCCTATAAGCTTATGGTTCTCCCTTTGTGTTTCAGAGTGAGACAAACCAGTCGCGACAGCCATGCAAATGTCACGTACTATTTTCTTATCATAGGACTCTCCGCTGCTGTAGGTTGTGGCCAGCGTGGAGGAACACTCTTCCAGGTACCAAGGCTTCTTTCCGCTCTCGGCTGTGCTGCTGATGGAGATGGTGTAGATGCTGTTGGTGTAGCCATCACAAGAGCAGTGGTCCTTGCTCCTCCCACCATTTCCTGATGCCCAGACGAAAACAGAGCCAAGGCCTCTCCGCCCCTGTCCACAAACAGAAAATGTTACATGATGGATGACACGGACCACAGGCTCTCAATGAAGAGAGGAACAAAACCAACAGGGCAGAATCAAGTGATGCTATTTTTATAATATGCTGGATTTAAGCATATTTAAGCTAATATGCTAATTGAAGCTGCTTTTTCAGGGAAAAGGAGTTACTTGTAGAAAGTAAAACAATCTGGATGTAACGTGTAGCATGGTGACTACAGTCAATGATACTGTATTATATATTTGAAAGTTGCTAAGAAAGTAGACCTTAGAAGTTCTCATCACAAGAAAAATAAATTTGTAACTGTATGGGGATGGATGCTTCTAGACTCTGTGGGGATCATCTCACAATGTATAAAATATTGAATCATTAATGATGTATACCTGAAACAAATGTCATATGTCAATTATATCACAATTAAAACAAAGAAACTAAAATAATCCCTTTCACATGACATAGTCACAGAATTAACAAGAACACAAATTATGACAATAAGAAGGGCTAACATTTATTAGGTACCTACCGTGGACCAAGCACAATTCTAAACGGTTTATATGAATCAGGCTGGATTCTTTCAACAACCCTGTGAGAATGGTACATGTTTGTCTTCACTGTACACATAAATTGACGCACGGAAGTTAGGTAATATTGCTAAAGTCATATAGCTAATAAGTGGAAGGACAAAATTTGAACTCAGACAGCAGACCCCCCAGAATTGCCGTAGTTATATAATATTGCTATTCTTACATATACTGTTTATATAATATTACTATAATATTACTTCATCTATATCAAGTGGGTACTACTATGCACTGTCACTGGACCTATGGGCAAGACGAGGTGTACAGAGGTTATGTATTTATCCTGAGTCACTTAGTCAGTGAAGGGCAGAATGGGACCAACTACATCCTGCCGTCTAGACCTGTATCTCCCCTACATGTGGTGTGGACACTAGTTATGAGGGGTGTTAATGGATGCTACCAGAAATAAAAGGATATCAAAGCCAAATATGTTTAGGAAACTCTGAGGTAAGCAAAATTAAATGGTTCTCTTATTGCAGAACTTGTAAGAATCTTTAATAAGTGAGTATTCACTTCAAAACTAAGAGGGGTCACAAGCTGGAGCAATTTACAAGCATACTCAACCATGGTAACCTCTTAGCCCAGATCCATTAAGTTTTTCTTACAAGGCTAGGAGATGGAGTCATATTTTTATGCCAGAACTTCATATAAACTCAAAGACTTTCTTAATGTCATAAAATAATCAAGGAGAAGCAGCACAGTAGAATATAGATGTATTCAACAGAGTGACTTTGGTTCTATATGATAAAATCTTCAGGAGAAAAGAGAGACATCAGCCAAAGTGAAGATTTTTCTTGGAATAGTTATAGCTGAATCTCTCAGGAATTTTTACCATTTTAAAATTAGAGGTACAGTGGAAGACACTGAAGCCAATCTATAAATTTGTAATTAGGAAGTTAAGAAACCATATCACATAGCTAGTGACAGATAGACCTCTTTCTTCCTCCCAGACCTTAACTCTTCTGGTCTCAGGTAGAGGGTGAAGTATTTGGGATGTTATCTTGGAATTTCTAGAAAAGCCAAGGAAAGAAAGACAACTAAGAATCTGGAGTATCCTCAATACTCTCAAGGAACTGAGTATTTATGAAATGATTTGATTGGCCTGAGGCACAGATCTCTTTTTGTCTTTCAATGTAGAAAAATGCAATTTGATCACACAGGAATGGGGAAAATTTGTGAATAGAGGAGGGAGAAAGTTCTGTATGCTACTGTTACTAGACAGCTGGTCCGGGCATATCATCTTTCAGTTTCCAGCACAATACCCGTGAAACATAGAGAAGGGTGCAAATAGCATCTAGCCATCTTAAACTAAAGATCTTGTTCAAAGCTTTGTAAATCTCTAAACGAATTACTCTCCACTATGGTGTGGATGCTCAGATTGAGAAAATCTGGTGACTGACTCATATCTGCAACTCAGAGGTGGAACATCATACAGAAGAAAGAAGAAGGTTCTAATTCATCACTGAGAGGTAGCCTCTCTGTCACTCAATGAGAGGCTGAGAGGCTTTGTTGCTGGCAAAAAGCATGGTCACATCAGAGCTTTCCCTGGTAGGTCAACAGAATGCATGAGATAATGCAAAATCCCACCTGGTTTAAACTGCACTGTAACAGATAATAGATTAAGAACCACAATACAATGAACACCCAAGGCCCAATCACATTTATGTTCTATGTATCTATGCAAAATTATGACTGTGTGCCCAGGTACAAAATTCAATGAAAAGATATTTTTCAGAATATTAACAAGAAATGTTCAAAAGAACATTAACAAGAATATGTCCTAAAGGTACTTTTATGTTCATGATGTGTTTACTAATAGAAGACATAAAACAATATAGTGCAGTCTCTGGTTAGAAGAAAATGCATGTGTGTATGTATAAAGAAGTTAATGTGTATAAAGTTCTACACATAAAGCTACCATAAGGTGACAAGATATCAGAACTTATCCTATATGGCAATTAGGGAAGATCTTTATTTTCTTCCTCTACCATCCTTTTGTGCTCATATACGATTTTTTTAAAAACAGAAACAAATGCATTTTTTCCCTCTATAAATAGGGAACACACAGGGTCAGTTCTTAAGAGATAACTTTTATTTTATGATCAGGAGGGGTTTTACACACAGAAAGTTCACTGTTTATTAAAAACAACAGAGGCTACTAACATCTATAGAAACTCACTGGGTGCCATGCACTATACAAACATTATCCTTTATGATTCAAGTCTGTATCACCATTTTACAGATGAGCAGACTGGGGCTCAGAAATGCTCACTATTGCCAGAGCCACAAGCTTGAAATCCAACTGGAGTTAGAGCCTGAGCCTTTAACCCTTACAGCAGTCCTCTTTGGGGCAAAAAGAGGGCTAATGGTTGCTATGTTGTTTTTAGCTAGTATCCAGTATCTTCACTGAAGCTCAGTATTGCAATCTAGAGCAGCCCAGCCTCCAGGCTCTCTCTAGACTTGGTGGCAGGACAGAATGATAAAGAAAGGACACAGGCATGGTCCCAAGCATCGTCATGAAGAAGGACATAGGTTCTGATGCAAAATTCTCCCTAGAAACCCCAACCTGACAAGTATGCTTCCTCAGAAATGGGACCACAAGTCATTCTATTCTGGCAGCATCCACAGATGACATAACTGGAGGGGCAATGACATTGCGATGGGGCTCTCTGTAGATCCATGACATGGAAAGAACAGGTGGTTGACAGGACAGTGCTTGCCACTGCCCTGGAAATGTCCCTTCCAGATAGACGTGATGTCCTTCTATTAGATGTATTATTTGAAGGAATTATTTTTACAACCGGGCATGGTGAAGGGAAACTCCAAGGGACAGTAGGGGATCAATAACTGCACCCCTCTTCCCAGGCCTGAAGGGAGCTTGGGAGAGGGGAGTCCCTGGAACTGGATATGTGGGGCTAACAGTTGAGAATTAGGGGACACACCGACTCATGCAGGGGCCAGACCAGGGGAATATGTGTGTACCGAGTGAGACCCCAGTCTCCTCCTCCCTCTCTCCCATTTCTTGCCAGAATACCCACTGGCCAAACCCCAGCAGAAGCCTGGCCCAGGGAGCACCTGGAGATCAGCATCCCTGAATATGGAGTTTGCGGAGAGACAGGGTAGGGTTCTGGAGGGTCGAACGAGAGCCATCCAGCATCATCCTTAAAGCATGCTATGGACGGAATCATGTCCCCCACAAATTCATATGCCAATGCCCTAACCCCCGGTGTGACTGTATATAAAAATAGGGTCATTGAGGGGGTAATTAGGGTTGAATGTGGTTATAAGGGTGGCGCACTAACCGACAGGACTGGTGTCCTTGTGAGAAGGGGAAGAGCCCACAGGAGTATGCGCGCAGAGGAAAGCACGCCTCACAGAGCGTGAAGGCATGGCAAGGCAGAGGCTGGCTGCAGCGGAGGAGGCAGGCATCACGAATCCGCTCTGCTGTCACCAGGGTCACGTGCTTCCAGACTTCCAGCCTCAGACTGTGGGCAAACAGTTCTGCTGTTGAAGCCACCCGGTCTGTGGAGCTCAGTTACGGCAGTCCCCGCTGAGGTGATGGGGGACGAGCATGACCTGCCTCCCATGGCAGCTACGGAATATCCAGTGCAGCCACCACGCTGTCCAGGAGGCAATCTGACCTTTATGCATGTGTGTATGGTTTATGATTCAACTCCCAGAAATAAACAAACTGAATTTGCGGGCTGAGAAAGCAATAAAGACAGTTGCTAAAGATCTGTGGGGTTAATCTGAAACAATTAGCAGTTCAAAGATTTATTTATTACAGATGCATAGCAAATTTTCATTAATGTGCAATATTCAGAAAACCAAAATGTATGCAGTTTGAAAAAAGTCTGGACAGTTCTCCAAAATTCAGAGTAATTTAATTGTGGGACGTAGGGAGAAGGAAGATAGGCATAATATCATAAAGAAGAAATGATCTTAATGGCATTTTCTAGTTTTGGTGAAGTATTATGATTATGATTGGTTATTTAAATATGGTCTTGGATGAAAAAAAGAATAAAAAAACCCTCCTGCTTAATTGAATGCTAAGTTAAAAGTTAGTAAACTCAAGGTAAAATATATTGTGAAATCCACACAGGACCCATTTGACCAAACTCTTAAATATTCTCTTTCATTGTGTATCTAATTGTGCTCGTGTTTCTTCTCATTTTTGCCCTACAAAAATCAATTTATAATGCCCCATATGCATTACTATTAAAGGCTAGAGAGGAACTGGATTTTCTTCTGGCTCAGGTCAGAAAGGGCTACTTTATGTTGGCTTACCAGTTAAATCATATACTACAAGCCAGTTTTTTAGAGCTGTAGTTTGGTGGACCTAAATTTCTTTCTTTAAAATGGTGTGATAATTTTTTAGCCAGTGCAGTTAGATTTTACTTGGTATCTTAATA